AGGTATTTTCCCATATTATATACTGTGGTGGGATTGTCCATGAAGCAAATTATAATTGCTATAGCAATCGACTATTATACTTATAACAAAGCGATTAGATATGCAGCCGGTAAACTTTTTCATTGGTTTAGTATAGTTTTTCTCTATTTCGTAAAGCATAGATTCTTGCTTTGATGATGTCCGTCACAATACAGTCTAATGCAAAGAACAGGTTCATTGGGGTCGCAGGATGGTGAGCCGATGACTCCTTCGAACGATGCAATAGCCTACCATATGCGAAAATCCTCCTTCGGTTTTCTGTGAGATCACATTCATAATTCCTTCTAGGCAATTTTTCCTTCGAAACGAGAAGTCATGTCACAATATATCACTAAGGAATGCTTCGAAATCCAGTTTTTCTTCATATCCTGCGTTTTGTTGTTCTTCCTTTCATTTCGAGTGAAAGTATTTGGTGAAATTGTTTGAAGATCAATCCGGTCAGAATTTGATGGTAGATTCCTCTTGGCCAGCTGTTGATTGGCTTTACTAGAACATTCTTTTTAATGCTGTTTTCGAGACAATCTCCTTCGCTTCCAGTGAAAATGTGCAAAGCTTCGTCCGTCTTATGATGAACTCCATAAGAGCAGGGCATTATCCTTACAGCCATATTCAAACTATTGAATCCTGAAAATTAACCGGCTCATCCCTAAATGCTGTACATTTATCTTATATCTAAGCTCTTTGATGCTGATATAAAAGTAGTTGGTTAATTAAAGCCATATGTTAATTTCGAAACATTTAAGAATGTATGTCTGTGTCTTCACGCGTTCATATAAGCATGAAACTAGCAGTGATGGCTTAAGGTAGTTACAAGTGAAGTGACTTCTATTCTTTGTCATCACGGTTTGATGACCACCATTACCCCCTTCATATATATTTTGACTTTTGATTTTGTAGGCAAGCAATTATTCATTTGCCATATATTCCCTGTTAGCGTATACTGGGTTAATAAATGGAATCTGCCCATATTTATTTGTGGCTTATTCACGAAAGAGATCTATCAATCTGTTAATCAGCTCCACAGTTGTCTTCGGATGAGATCGACCTTCGTAGCTCTTCACCAAACACTTTCACTCCAAATGGAAGCAAGCTCAACAATTATGAACCAAGCTATTCCTTAAAACCCAACTTTAATTTTTTTTTGAGAATACCAATAAATCCTAATACAGATTTAGTGGCATCATTATGCAAATATACTCTGAACTATCCAGGTTCGATTTTCGCTGGAGGTACTGATAAGACCCAGGCAAGGTCAAACTTGCCGTTTTCTCTGGATGAGAATACGTTATGAAAAAAAAGTACAATTGAAATTCAGTGAAATTGTAGGAAAATTCATCATCAGTTCTTTATAAATTTTAGTGATTTGAGGGGACCAATACTCTTATTAAAAGATATGTATACCCTTTTTAACTATATTACTATCAATCTTTTACCACATGCTCATTTGCATAATAATCCCAAAAGTTCTTATTTATCTGTCCCGTTGTAAAGTTGTCTCCATCCTAAATTCATATTTATTCAGCGATAGTTTGGCTTTATTCAATCATCTCCCACGTAAAATCGAGACATCTTTATTTCATTTTCTTATTAATGTCTTAAAAATGCAGGTATTTGTAGAATCTCCTCAGCCTCTTCTTGCATTCTCTTCTGGTGCCTAGTCTTCATTCTTCTGCACGCTCATCTCCACACACATTGCCAAATCCTCGCCACACGTCTGCCTATGAAGCCGGTCTGCCCGCCCACTTGTCAGAGAAATCGTGATTCAACCTCGTCCTCGTATGCAACTGTGCCTAACCAGGATTCAATCCCAGGTCAAGCCGAAACATCAACGCTATCCATTGGCATTCGATCCGAGACAATGCTAGGATCTGACCACCGCATTGATTCCAACACGGCTGCTAGTACACCTCTTTCAAAAATACCCTCCAAATTCATCAACAATTTCCACCAATCTTTTCCAATATTTGCATCCTCTCACAAATCACCTCCTAAGGAAACACCCCCATCTGAGTCGAGATCCCTAATTGCTGCATCTGCTTCAGACCATCAGTTTACACTCTCTCCTACTGCGACTCTTCGATGCCGAAAAGGACTAGAATCAGGCCGATCCACGGATGATGACTTAAGTGGTCAGCCTTTTTCTCAAGGATGCCAAGGGACAGATGTTGCCAGATATGCTCAACAAACTAGCTGGGGCGACTCAGAGCAAGAAATTTCCAAAAAGTCCTCAAGCAAGGTGCCTTTCAATACGAATAAGCGTTCAGCCCTAGCCTACTGGAGATACCCTTTGTCTGATAAAGACTACATACAGAATTCTAAGCAAAAATGGAGGGGCTCACGATCAATCACTATCATTCCAAGCTTGTTAAATAGGAAAAACAATGGTTCAACAGGGAAAAAATTTCAAAGTAATTCGAGAATAAAGCCGAAATCGTCCTACAAAATACACCAGGCTTCAGAAATACCCATCCAAACCTCGTCAAAGAGACAGTTTAAGACTAATTCTGACTTCTCTTCAATGGAGCAGAGTAAAATGGCTATGATATGGAATATTGCCAATCAATCAGATATAGACTCAGATCGGTTGCCGACCAACCAACCATCTCAACTTATCGCATCGACACAAATTGGTCGGAGCGAGATCCCGAGAAAATACGAGGAACATGATGCATCGCGGCCAGCCAAATTAAAATGGCCTTCCATGCAACTTGTGCATTCTCCAACACCTCAGCAATCCTATCCACTTTCTCGCGAGAATCGGCTCCTAGCCCTCAACGACCCGGTGAAGACCCATAACAAACCAACCGGAAGAATGGAGCTTTCAAAGAAAAATAGCTTTTCTTCGCCAACACTTTTGATATCAGATCGGAAGAGCTGGCATTTCGGAGCTAAGCACTCATGCCACGGCACAGATCAGTCTTATTCAAATAAGAAACCTTTAGTTGAACCAAATATGAGCTCACGCTTAAACACCTATTCGGATGCCTATACAGTTGTTACCTCCGATGTGAATTCGAATCCTGACTTACGACAGAGCTATAGCCCAACCTCTTCTCCTGAGCGCTTAAAGGGCTCGAATACACCTATTGCGGCCAGGGGCATATATCGAGGCGGTTGGGCCGAGAAGATGTTGATCAAACATATTTTGGCTGACTACGATGTGCGATCACGTCCAGTTGTCGACGAGTGGTCACCAAAGCTTCTCATTAAAAACGAGACATATCAACAGATCTCTGTAGAATTTGGTCTTGATCTATTCCAAATACTCGATTTGAACGAAATGGAACAAGTGTTAACGACAAGTGTCCGATCGCTTTACGTGCGCATATAATATTAATTACTCTCTATGATTTCCTAATCCGAATATTTGGTTAATATTATATATATATATATATGTTGATGAATAACATAATCTAAACACAATCTAAATAATTAGTCTCTAACTCCATAGAAGGAATACACAAGACTTATACGTTAAATCTCTGGTCTGATTACACCAATTCTCAAGCTCAATTTAGAGATATGTAAATTTGCGATCTGAATTATTATTTACATTTCCTTCAAAGTATAATAATAAAATTGCATACGGATAAGCTAAATTAATTTGCCAGATCTATTCAATATTTTATAGCAAGTACAACACCTAGGCTCCGCAGCCTCTCTAACTCTCGCATGCTCATCTAATTTTATTATATGATTCGTGGAAATGGACAAATATCATGGATTGAATTTGCTAATCAATAGAAATTATTTAAGTTTATTCAATTGCTCTCTT